CTGCTGCTGCTGCTGCTGCTGCTGCTGCTGCTGCTGCTGCTGCTGCTGCTGCTGCTGCTGCTGCTGCTGCTGCTGCTTGTGGGGTCTGCGCTGCCCTTGGGGAGCAGCTGCTGCTGCGCCGCGCCCAGCGGTGCGCCGTTTGCAGCTTTCGCAGCAACGGCGCTCTGCTGCTGCTGCTGCTGCTGCTGCTGCTGCTGCGCCTCTGCATGTGGCATTTTCAAGTCCTTTTTCTCCTGCTGCTGCTCCCCGCGTTTGCTGCAGACTGGCTAGCCACCCCGGAACTCCGTCTTCAACTAAAACCCGTTTTTGTTCGAAAGTACACCAACTCCCTGCGCTGCATGCTGCAGCTGCTGGAGCCCCGCGACTACCCCGAGGTGAATTGCGGGGGCTTCTCTGCAGCAGCAACAAATCATTTTGTTTTTTATTCCATTTCTTGGCTTTGAGGCCCAGAAGAAGTACAAACAAATAAAGAAATTAAAGGCAAAGAGGCCCCGACGCTGGCTGTCTTTTGCTGCCAGCAGCGCAGCAGAGCTGCAGCAGCAGCAGCAGCAGCAGCAGCAGCACAGCGAAACCTGCTGGCCAGCGGGCTCAAGCGCAGGCAGCTGGGGCTGTGCAAAGTCATTTGTTGGCATTTGTTTGGATCTTTGCTGCAGGCTTTTGAACGCTTTGAAGTGGAACAAGTTGTCCCGGAGGAAACGGTGAAAGAGCGAATTGCTGCAGCAGATATTCCAGAAGAAGTCAAAACTTCGCTGCGGAGCTTTCTGCTGCTGCGCCGGAAGATCTTGCGCGGCCTGGCGAAGCAAAGAGCTGCTGTGGAGGCCTTGAATGCCCCGGAAGGATCTGCAGCAGCAGCAGCAGCAGCAGCACAAGGAAGCTCGGCAGCAGCTGCTGCGGGCGGTGAGCCGCTCGCAGCAGCAAAGTCGCCGCTGCTGCAGCTCATCCGGCTGCACAGCTTCCTCCGGCTGCAGCTGCGCCCGCAGCAGCGAGCGCCTTCGCTGGAAGAGTGGCAGCGGCAGCAGCAGCAGCGGGAACTTCAAAGACGCATGCAGAAGAAGTCCCATGCAGCTGCGTCTTCGCCAGCTGAGGAAGAGCTCATGGGGGTACGCCTAGACCCGCAGTTCAAGTTCGACTCCGCTAGCTAGCTAGCTGGCTAGCTAGCTAGCTAGGCTAGCCCAGCCGAGCGAAAAGTCTATTCGAAAGCTGAGCCACACACAGTGTTTGTTTGCTGCTGCTGCTGCTGCTGCAGTGCACGCTTTTCCGTGCAGAAATGCAAGTCGTGGTCTGCGTTATGCGTTCGTGTGTGGTTTGGTGTCAGACCACGGAGGACCTGCCACAGGCGCAGCTGCAAATGGGAGATCAAAGCGAATACGACAGAGTCGACAAACTTATAGACGAAGTGGAGCGGCAGATAATAGAAAGCTCGCCAGACGAAGAGGCTGAGGAGGAGGGAGCCTCTCCTTTGTTCAACAAAGCCTACCGCTCGGCTGCTGTTCGAAAGCCCCGCAGCTTCTACAACTACTTCGGTGAAGACACAGTGCCTTTGCTTGAGACGGACCCAGACGAGATCCTCTTGAGGCTCGCCGGATCCTCCAGCGCCTCCACAGAACATGAAGCTTTCCTGCCTCTTCTGTTTCAAGACCCAGGAACAGCCCCCCACGCAGCTTCGCCAATCCCGCCAGACCCTCCGTAATGTATCTTTTCAAATTCTCCAATAATTCCCAAAAGCAAGCCGGCTGCCCGCTAGCAGTGTCAGTGGCGCATCATGCTTTGCATGCTTCGTTGCTGCTGAACTTGATGAACTAGAAGTTGCTGGGTGCATTTCCTGGGCAAACAACTTTAAGTTTTCACAAAAGTGCCAGTCTGCTCGCAGCGTTAGTACCTTTAAGGCAAAGAACTTCCGAACACCTGTGGCTTCTGCCATATTTTTTCAACTGCAGGACTTTTGCTCTGTGATGGCTGACAGAAATCCGCCTGAAAGTGTTTCAGAAACTTTGATCTGCTGCAGTGCAGAAAACCCCGAGTCTTGCCACTCGCACTCCTCATGACAAGTCGGAACGTGCATTTGATCATGTTTGAGGCAAAGCTCGCTGTCTTCTGCAGCAATAGTTGCAAGTTGCACTATTTGCATGCTTACAAGCGACACCGCATTTCAAAGACAGATTTGGTGACAACTTGTCACGCACTGCGATCTCTTACTAGAAGCACTTTCATCGAGCTGGTACAACGTCACGGGAGAACTTCACTAACCTTTTGCTGTTCTCTCTCCATATGCAGTAGTGCTACTCGACAGCAATAACGGACTTCAGCACTGTTCCACAGGCAGCCCCGACGCCACGCAAACACTATTTGTGATCTTATGAATGCTCCAAAGCTTCGGCCCACTTGGCTTGCAAATGTGCCTGTACAACTCCTTGATCTAACCCTAGATATCTCTACAGAGCTCCATGTTGACTCTTGTGCAACAATACAAACGCAGCGACTCTTATGCCTGCAATTCGACTCCTCTATGTAGCAACTCACGCACACGTTCAAAGTGTATCCTGAAGATTCCTGGCCTCTGCCTTCAGCTCATCTTCGATCTAATCAATCTCTAGAACCTTTCTACTGTCCAACAGCGCCCCCAAGGCACATTCCCCCTCACGGGCTTTCCCTCCACCTCTCCTGCCTGTTCAGGACCTGCTACTCTAAGGGCCTTCTTGATCCCGTTCCTACGAACCTCAACTGCCTACATAACGTTTTGTGCCTGCCTGTTGATTATCCTCCGGCAAGGACTCTCCAGTTGCCTAGGCTAACTGACCGGTGGGATTGTCAATAAGCTGCTAGGAACGCAGCAGACAACGGCGCACAACCGAGGCTCCTAAGGATAAAGAGGCAGGGCGGATTTCAGAGTTCTGTTCATAAAAAAACCCTGCGGGCGTAGGACGATGTCGTTATGCCTAGGTGCTGAGAAAAGGCAAATTTTCCCCCCACTGGAGGAAATTCCCTTTGCTTACCTACTCCCACCATTCACATCCTGCCACGTCTTCGTCCCTTTAGGATATTCTCTCGCTGCGGTAATGCTACATCTGAACGTCAAACTGCGCTGATAACATTTCCAACCTTCATGTGTCATTCACGGACACGGCAACAAACAGCTGGATGATACGACGAGGAGCACCGGCCAGTGGAGCCGCCAGCAATTTGTTCTGCTGGGATTGACCCGGCATAAGTTAAAAAAATAACTCTTTGGCAAACAAAAACCATTTCAATGCGTAAGATGACCATGCGTCGCGCCAAGACGGTCTTCGATGCGTTCAGTATGGGGTCTTCTCGACGGATTCCCGTGACCCGCAGATACAGCCTCAGCTGCACACCTCTGTGGAAGGACAACTTCTCCATGTGGATTCCACTTCTTACTGTGTTCCTCCCAACGGTGCGGTCCTTGATATTTCCCAAGGATCATGAAGACCTGCGGCAGCTGCGGTTCGACTAAAGGGTTCCTGACCAGCACTTCATGGACACTGCTGCATGCCCATGAGGCTCTGGGGCAGGTCAGAAAAAACTGCGAAAACTGATGCTGCCCTTACATCTTGGCTACGACTGACGCTGTGTTGTGCGGACGTGAGTAAGAACCCAGAACTACCTGGACTGAACTCATCCAATTCCCATGTGCATGCAAACACTTGTCGAACTACCACTCGCTGTGCTGAGTAAGAACCCAGAACTACCTGGCCTGAACTCATCCAATTCCCATGTGCATCAAGCAAACATTTGTCACGGAACTACCACTCGCTGTGCTCCCTCAGGCAGTGCATATGCACGGGACGAAAGTTTCATCCCCAAACTCTGTGCCGCCTGCCCACACTGTAATTAGCATAATCCATACTTGGAACATTTGCGCAATCCCCTTTCGAAATGTTAACTACACCGCACACTCTTACGCTAAGTACCTGCAGTCTCAGATTTCCTTTCAGGAATGCTGACAGCTTCCTTAATCCCCAAAAGCGCATCTGTGCAATGTCCGCGGTTTGCTCGAGGCTTTCCTCCACGGTTCCTCCCGTGTTCCCTGCGGAAATCCTTCGGGTCAACTCGACAATATTCTGGTAAGCCCCATCGCCCACAAAGCCTTCTTTCGGCGGTACTCTCCAAATGATTAAGGCGTTCTTTTTGCGTGTCTCCATCATACTTGACATTCCATCCCTTGTATACAATAGCCAGTCCCCTCCGAAGCAGTTCCTCACTTGCATCCACCAGACCACTGATAGTGTCCAGCCGTATTTCTTGCAGGCATTGTAGAATTGTGGACTGCAGGTCCAGGCCCTTTACCTCCTCCCTAGATAGCTTCTTTACGGCCTCCACTACACCTTTGACTCCAGGGGCCAGAGGACCCTTCACGAGCCCCTGTGCACGCATTCTAGAAAGCAATGCGGCGAAGAACTTCTTATATTTCTTCCTCTTATCTATCAGAACGTCAGACACTGCAGGAACGAAGATTCGCCCCACTAGTCGATTGTGGCAATCGTCCCCCAAGTTCTTCACAAGGACCACGCGCCCCAATACTAACTCTGCGAGGGCTCGCGTGGCCGCTACTCCAAGTGGCTGTCCACCACTATCCAAATAAAAACTGCCATAATCTTCTGCCCGTCTGTGTTTTGAGCGACCTGCATAGCGTTGCCTGATTCCACCAACACGTATTTCGGGTGCATCGATACCATAAACTTGTGTAAGAATGGAGCGGCTATCCATCGACATGTTCTCCTCACTCTTCTCTTCACTCGACCAAGAACTCAACTCCACTTCTGGGCAATAAGGACAATCCATAATCCATCTTGTGGATACGCTCATCGCCCCCTTGACTTTCGTCATCATCAGTCTCTCTGCAGGATCAACATGTAGTCTAACAGCCTCGTCTGAAAGAACCGGAACCAAACGAACAGTGTCACCGTCAACAACCCTAACAACTAAAGCTGCGAAAAAGCGTTGCTGAATTCTTCGATTCTTATGCTTCCTCGCCTCCCCCTCAAGGGCCTGTGCATGGTTAAGCAGCTGCGCAATCAGCAACGCTGGAAAGTCACTTCGCTCTCCACTGAAGCGGCGACGGTCAGGTACAGGCAACTTTTCAAACAAGTCGAAGGGAAGACTCCACAACCCTCGGCGCTGCGTCTCGGCTCCTTCTTGCACAGCCAGCATATGTTGCACCGACTCGCCTCGGTTTTCTTCGGAAAACCTGAATAGGCTCCGCGCATCCACCCACGCAAGCCCGCGAAACAGCATGACATATGCCACGTCCGTGACAGCCATTGTAGGAGGACAGACGGAGCAGTCGAAAACTGTTCCAAAAAAGAACGTCAAGATGTCCTCCACTCCCTCTGCATCTCGCCGTTCCATGATCAGTCGCGCTATTGCTTCCACACGGTCCCATTCGCTTTCAGATTCGGGCAAATCCTCCAGTTCTCCATTAAGCGCCTCTTCCCACGCCATCGCCTTGCTCGCCAGAAGTTTGTACAGCTTTTCAACTTTGTCCTCCCCCTCGACTTGAGAGTTACAAACGGCAGGCAACAGCATCCTGCCGTGCCAGCCTTCATCGCCGTCTATACTGTCTATCTGCAGCAGCACCACCCTGCCCAATACTAGGTCTGACAGCGAGGCAGCAGATGCAGTACCCATTGGTTCCGCTTCCAAGTCCATGTGTTGGCTTCCGTAAGCCCTCGTTGAGGAGCAACGGCCAGGGTCCGCCAAATGCGCCTCATCAAAATCGACGCGCGGGGTTTCTATGCCTGTCAGCTGAAAGAGCTGTTGCTCCTGGCGACGTTTACCAATAGCGCATTTGATGCAGCTCTGCGGCGGCTCCTTCATATTAACATAGACCATCGACGGGACCCTCAACGCAGTGGTCACTGGCGGCACTTTAGCGGCTTCATCCTCGTCCATTAGTGCTGAAAAATCTGCAGCAGAGCTTATTGGCATGCAGCGAACGGTCCTGCCGTCGACAATCTCACTGACCAGCGCCGCCCGATACCAGCCGATCTTCCCTGTATAGCTCTCTTGGCTATTTGTTTGTGAGCTTATAAGTGAGTTTAGAAGCACTGCGATGTTCAACGCGGGCAACTCCAACCATTCATCTTCTCCAGCCACGGCCACCATTGTACAGTTCATGTATTCGTGACCTCTATCGTTTGCTGAAGTGACTCGGAATCCCGAGAACTGGTGAAGCCCGTAATATTAAATACTACGGGCCTCAAATCCTATTGGCTTCAATGTGTTACTCCTTCCGACAGTGTGCTTCTGGGTGGCACCGCAACACCCCACAAGCTTACGGCTTTGCCAGCCGCCTAGCACATTGGCACACTCTGCTCCCGCGTCTTTGTGCATCCATTGACCACGCTGACCACTGGTCACCTTGTGGAAACTCCCGTCTGCGTTGCTTTCATTGCCACAACAAAGAGGCATACAAAAGTTAATTTAAAAAAAAGTTTCACACAACTCACTTTCCTTCAACGGCTGTGAGCCCAACGCTGCTGCGTGCTGGGAAACCGATGCTTCTGCGTCTCTGGCTCGCGAGCTTCGCCTTGTCTCGGCGCGGCGCGCCTTGGCGAACGCGCCGCTCGCGCCACAAGGAGCATGAAATCTGTGTTTCAATTTCTGGAAATACCAATTATAAAAACGTTATTGGTAATGTAAGAGTTTGGACGCGTTCCGCGGCTTCCCCGGAACCTCCAAGCTCTCATTTGCAGCTTCAGTGGCTTTATCACGGTGCCTTGCTGCACGCTGGTGAAGTCAACAACTGGGATAGCCATGTGGCTTATGGGTCAGTTTCTGAAAGTACCAATTAGAGTAGTGCGTAGCACACCGCCTGTCGCCACTTCAGCACCTAACTTCGGCTCAACCGAAAGCCAATGTCAACAGTGGCCTCGCGCTGTAGTTGTATCACACAAAAGCCTATTAAGGTATGTTCGTATTCACATATTCCTTAAAATATCAATTCAAGAGATGAGGCAGCGCGCCGGAAGAAGCAGCGAAACGGGTGATCTGCACATCATCGGAAAGACAAGCTTCCGATGTGATGCACAATTGGGAATGAGTTTCGGTGTACTATTTGTGGTGTGTTGTCGTTCAAAAGACCGAACGGCTCTGAGTTCTTGAGTAGCGTTTACAGCGTCTACAAACAAGAGCTCCTTAAACTTGAATAGTGGGCCCCAAATAGACCCAAAAGGCTGTCTATTCACCCCCAACAGTGACCAGCTGCATGCGCGCTACGCTTAAGCTGCAGCCCAGCTTTTTCGCAACAAGTTGCACGGCGTCTGCCACAGTCAAAGGGGCATCATTTGCATCAGTTGTGGATTTTGGCGCTGCCGCCATCTCGGCTAGAACACACTTGCGGGCCTGAGCCATCATCAGAAACTCTTGCGTCAGAAAGCAGTGATCCTGCAGACAGTGCTGCAGCTGCTGCGAAACATTTGAAGGCACCGCAGTCTTGGCCTCTGGAGTGGCGGCCTCATTTGCACTTTTGGCGGCGGCTTCCGCAGCGGCTGTGTGCTCCTTCTCAGTGACAGAAGCTGGAATGGAATCCGCAGAAAGAAACTTCGGCTGAGTTGCAACAGCCTGCATCGCCAGAAGCTTTGCAAACTTGAACAGGCGGTCGCGCAAAGTCGCAGTCTGCGCTGCTGCTGGGACACCCTCCACAGCCCAGCAAAGCTCAACCACTGCAGCAGCCCGGCCCACGCCGGGAGCCACTTCCCCGTGGACATAAGCATTGACACAGGAATTCAAGTTTCCCTGGAAGTGCGCTGCAGCACTCACTTCAACTTTCTCTCCGAACTTCGCCGCCAGCTCCGTCAAGAGTTCGCCAACAGAGCCTCCGGGGCCCCCGCCGCCGCTGCGGACGGAGGAAGAAAGGCTTTCTGAAGCCTCTGAACTCCGCAGCTGCTCGAGAGCCGGAGTTTCTGCGCTTTGCGCTGACAAGTGTGCATAGTGCTCGGCCAGAGCCCGAGAAAAAGCCACGAATTGGGGGGTTCTTTGAACGAAATCCGTTTCGCAGTTCAGCGCGACTGCACTCCAGCTGTTTTCTTGCACAGAACCGAAAACAGAAACCAACCCTTCGCAAGCCTTTCGGTGGGCTGTCTTCGCCGCCTGCGCGACGCCGCTCTTGCGTAGATACAAAACTGCCGCCTCCTCGTCCTGCAGCAAGAGCCAGAAGCAATGCATGCACAAGCTCATCAGCAAAGTCCAGGGTCAAAGAAGGACTTGTGATTCATGTTCAAGCTGCAGCGCCGCGAGGCAGGGGCCAACAGGCTATGCAGGGAATGCCGGGCAGTGGTGCTTACCCAGTTGCTAGCCTGGAGCGCCTGCTTGCAAAGTCTTACGCTGCTCGCTGTCCTTTCCCTCAGCTTTTTCACAAGCTCCAGGGCGTTGGGTGGTCCCTTTCTGGGGTCTGTTTGAACTTCATTGGCCTCTGCAGCCCTCAAGACAGTCGCCATTCCGCAGGTCTGCAGCTTGCCGTACTCAAACTGCCGGGCTCGGGCCACAAAGCCTGTTTGCCTGAACCCCATTCCATATTCCTTGTGTTGCTGAGGCAAGACATCTTTCAAAAAAGAGGGAACACAGCAACGAATGCAAGGCGCTGGCGTTCGCTGCTTTGTCGGACGCAGCGCTCGCAGCGGCGCAGCCGCTGCGAACACCTGTGGAGACAGCCGCCTCTTTATCATTTCCTATTTTAAAAAAATGTTTATTTTAAGATTAAAATGCCAGCCGCACCGAGCAATGTTTGCGGGGGCCAGGGCCGACACCAGGGGAGCCTGTGGGGCCCCGCAACGCGCAACTCTCTTTAAATGCAACTTTATCTGTGTTGTTTGTGTAAAGTATGCAGAATATGTCCTTTTGGAGTCAACAAAAGTGGAACTGCATGCGTCGCGCTCCGGGAGAGCTTCCAGCGATCTCCTCCGAATGGCTCAGCCATCTAGGGATGACGGTGAACTGAGGGTTGGCCTGGCCACCGGCAGCAGTTCATCTTTCCACTAGGAAAGCCTCCAGTGCAATTCCTCTCTGTTTCGAACTGCAGCCGCTGCGGCAAACTACAGCTATTTTACCTCACAGCACTATGGGAACTGCACGCGGCACTGTAACTGCTGCTGCTCGTTTCGTGCAAAGTGCCAACTACTCTGCTCGCTGCTGCCCTGCAGCAAACTGCCAACACTCTAACGTGGAAACCAAAGTAACTGTCTTCCGGCGTGCACCGTGAAACAAAGAAACGTTAAATAAGGCAGCGTTCTCCCCAGCGAAGTCTGCTGAGGCTCTCTCGAGGCCGCCCAGCTGACTGAAGGGCTCACAAGACTGAGTTCAGTCTTGCATGCAACCCTGGAAACTGAGGCGCATGGCCCGTTTACTGGTCACCGCCGGCGTTGAGAATGTAAGTGACCCCGCAGCGGCCGCAGTAGTTGCGGTTTTCGTGCTGCGCCATGAACACGCCGCTCCCGCAGGTCTTCGAGGGGCACTCCTTGCGCAGTCGGGTCACTTTGTTGTTGTCGTCAACTTTGTAGAACTTCAGCACAGCAAGCTTGACTTTCTTGTTCTTGTGCTTCTGCTTCTTGGGCTTCGTGTAGGTCTTTCTCTTGCGCTTCTTGCCAGCCCCGAGCAGCTCTAGGCTTTGAAACAGAGTCGCCTCCTGTTCACAACTCATACCCAAACAGCGGATATAAGCTGACCGCCAACTCCACAAATAATTCATTATGAAATGTCACAACAAACCATTGTGGGATGCAAGCCATAGTGCACAACGGCGAATATAGCTGTACTGCCAAATTCATGGCAAACCCATTATGACGTGAAGTGAACGCATGCGCATTCAGTTTCACGAACTACAGGTAGAAAACACTGGATGGTTTCGGCAAAGTCCTTTTTCAGACAAACTAGCGAAATGAAAGACTCCTCATTGTCAGATGTCCCTATCTAGAATGTCATCAACAAAAGGAAATGCCGAAACCGGTGAAAGGCAATGGAACTCTGAGACCTATATAACTCGCGCTGAAGCCCAAACATAAATAACGCACAGCCACTTCTCTCGACCAAATAAAGCCACAAGATGTCCACTGCAGACTGCAAATGCTCGCAGGTTCCGGCGCTTGTCCTTATCTCAGACAAGCTAGCGAAATGAAAGACTCCTCATTGTCAGATGTCCCTATCTGATATGTCATCAGAAGGAAACGCCGGAAGAGCAACTGCTTTGGGCTGTCAAGCAAACATGAACTACATGGAACTATCCGTATATAGCAACCACTATCATAACAGAAAAGGAATACTGCGTAAATGGCAACAACTCTCATCCATAATTGCCGTTGTTACTGTATTCGAAAGAAAACGACGCACCTCTTCAACACCAGCCTCCTCCAGAGTACAAGCGTCATCTACGGCTGAAACGCCGAAGAAAAGACGCTGCAATGACGCAGCAACACCTGCAGGACAAACAGAAGACATTCTCAACCACACAAAATTTTAATTCGCATTTGTTCATGTACACCCGCAAGTGTAGGCTAGCGATCGACATTTCCAAGAAATGCCTCAACTAGCGCCCTTTCAGCGCCAGCACCAGACAAAAGCCTCATGCCAGTAACACCTTCACTGCCCGCATAAAGAGCACCAAAGGCAACAAATGCCGGCAGACAGACAAAAGGTGCTGCGGGGCTTCGCCAGCCCTGCGCCCATAGGCAGGAAGCCTATGTATGCGCTCTAATACTCCGAGAGGGCAATTTTGGAAGCAATAACCCGCCACGTTTTGCCCAAAGGAGGCGAGAGTTTGAATGGCCTCCGCACTTTGTTGAGAGGCAAAGCCGTTGCTCTCACCCACATGATAGCTGCAGCAGTGCAATCTCGGCCAGTGGTCAGCTTCCGCTGCCCCTAAAGTCCCCCGCAATGCTGAAAACAATGAAACGGGCTAAAAATATGCAAAAATTTCGCGGAAAACCTGCAGCAACGTACCTAATCGCGCCTCCAGGTGCTGCTTGAGCTCGAGCACCGTCGAGGTGGCGGACACCTCGACAGGCACGGATTCCCCCGCATATGAACGCACGAAAATCTGCATTATGACGTACGACGGGGAAGCACAAATGTCAGAGCCCTTGCGTCGCCATTCTTGAGGTGAACTTCGATTAGCTGCAGGCTGCAGTGTGCGGGGCTCTGCGCTGCAGGACCCCGCAGGCGGTGGCCCCCAAAAGCCAGCCTATCTCCTGCTTGCATGCACGTAGGTGGGTCTTGTCTTCTCATTTGTAGCTGTAACCAGCTGAAATTAATTGCCTCTTAATACATTTTGTGTTTTCCTTCGTAGTGAATGCGATATCCAGGGCCTTCATCGACGTCGCTAGTGAAGAGATGCACTGAGTGTGCAGATTTTGGCTTCAAACCAAAAGCCTTACTGAAAGGCTACTACTAACCGAGCACGCCTTTGGTGAATCACTCTTCTCAATGACTTAATTGCATTACATTATAGTGAGAAAAAGTAGGGCTAGGTTGTTCACATGCGTTGGTTTCCCTAGAAAAGAGGCCTCGCAGTTGTATCAGGGTCTCGTTCCTGGGTTTTCCTTTGGCGTCTCATTTCAGAGTTTCCTTTCGGGTTCTTTTTTTTAGAAATTCCTTTCATAGTACTCTTTCAAAGTCTCTTCGTTGGGTCTTCTAGGATTTCTCTTCCGGGTTCCACTCTGCCGTTCCGTGGGTTACGATCCCAGCAAAACCAAAGTTGAACACAATTCGCCGCAAGAAAAGGTTGCTGTACTTCTCTCAAAATACCAGCAGCTTTTCCAGTGCACGCATTTTCTGCCGCAGCTTTCTTAGGTCAGCAGGAACCTTTTTCTCCGCAGGACCATAGGGGCTCTATTTACTATTCTTAGTTTAGCTTCCACGAGAGGGAGTATAGCAGGTGGCTTTCGAAGAGCAAGCGAATCACTGGGGTGCAGGTGTGAGAGAGCTATTTCAGCGCCTTAACACTCCATTACAGAAAACTCTTCCTTCAGCGAAAAGAAGAAAGGGGGATGGCACATGCTCCTCAGAGCCTTCAGAAAGAACTAGCAATTAGTAGCTTTCCAGTGGTCGATCTCCTTTCCGAAACTCGTGGTGATATACGTAAGCAGGTCAAGACATGGCTACTTCTTGTCCTGCGGAGTGCCTTCACACTAAGTTACATCTTGAAGGGCGATTAGGCGGGTGGTCAGGTAGCAGTAGCCCTGGTTGCCTTCACCTATGGTCTTTGCCCTAGTGAAGACTGAAACTTCATGCTTTAAGTTCGAATCATGGTGCGCGTCACACCATTGATGGTCTTCGCTTTCCGTATTTTAGCCTCACAAGACTAGCATCAATAACAACTCAAGCTTGGCTTCCTGGGGTATCCATAAGGTACTATTGCAACTAGGTAAGCTTTTGATGGGTGTGAGGCTAAGGCCAAGTTTGTTCTGCTTTATATGCAGGGCTAGGAGAAGAACAGGCCCTTCAGAACGATTGAAAACGCCTTTTTGGGGATTCAAAAAGGTGCTGCCCGGCGGGGCAATACTGTCGAGGCAAAATCCTACGAACCTGGCGCTTACGGGGTTGCCATACTTGCTTGAAACTAGCACTTCCTCAGAAATGCTGATAGGCTTCTTTGCAGGCAGGGATGGCGACTGCTGCTGCCAAGGCAATGCATCTTAGTTGGCGAGAATCGCCAACATTCAAGTAGTCAATATCTGCGCATGACGGCACCCACAATATATAAAAGGTTAAGGACGCCTAGAAACAATGCTTAGGAAGCAGTAGGGTGCTGAAGCTTCCAGTTTCACTCGCAGTAACTTGAACGCGTTCCCCCTGCGAAACCTTAAGTAGATTTAAACCTTACATGCTGTTACCTTGTTCCTTCATTGATGTGATTGAGACGATAATTGTATTTATGTACGACTTGAAATGAAGAAGTAGCACATCATTAAAAGTGGAACCAGAGTAAATCATTCCTGACCTAGGCTGTAATTCTCTGGAATTTCGCTCAAGCGCCTTTTACTCTTCCGTAAGTGTTACCTGTGCCGCGCTCTGCCCGGCCACCTTGAGCGGTGGACTATGATGTGACCACCGCACTCATACGTCGGCATTCCACTGGTTCTAGCTGTGCAAAATGTGTAGCGGATCTCGGCCGGGGGGCAAAGAAAGCTCAGACAGACTAATCGCAAAGGCTACACAGACAGGGCTCAGACAGCGGCTAGACACTACGAGCTGTACAGCGAGGGTAACAGCTACGGGCTGGCACTGATTTTGCAGCCAGAAACTCCTCTGTGCACACCGGGGGGTCAGGTTTTGTGGAAAGACCGTAGGTCTACTTTGGTCCTCTGCAGAATTTCCCGCTCCTCAGTTAACCCCCTTACGTATATGTACGGAGTCGGTGGGATCCTACTCAGTGTAGGTTACCCGGCAAAAAAAAATCTACGTAAGATCAAGTGTGGCTTTGGCTCAATGAAAGGTTTAACAACCTCACAGAGCCCTAAAGCTGACTCTCAATGGCGCTCTCGGCGCATTCGAGCTAAACTTTTAGTTTACAGTCAGAGGCCATATACATTCGCATATGAAGTCCGAAATAAGAGACCATCTTAAAGGCACCTCGAGAAACAATCTTCGTACACAGGTGACCAGTGATGCTGTTGCCTTTAGCTGCTGCTAGGCACGATTCCCACGTTCTGGAGTCTGGTGAGAGAGCCCTTGTACCCTTAGGGAGCCACATTTTTTGTCATTCTCTCCTGAAAAAGCCTAAAAGGTCTCTAGTACTATATTTATAGCAAGAGGGACTTGACCATTACTGTGGCTGGTACTGCACGAGCCTCGGTTGGGCGCCTGGCCAGATTTCGTTTTCTTACCCAGTCGGCATATCACCACCATAACCCCAATGAGTGTCTTAACACCTCAGAACGGTAACATGTTTGATCTGTGATCAAAGAGAACTCCACATTAACCACCCCACGGCGCTGTGTTACAAGAAGACCCACGGCCAGCCCCGACCGAGGCCTGGCACTGTGCCTCAGCACGCATGGAGGCCTTGACGGCTTTGGCTTGTTTGCCATCACAGCATGAAAGTACCTTAAGTAGTATTTTAATTTGTACAGAGAGCTTCTGTGCGTAGGAGGTTCACCCCGTGAAGTGCCCAGGCCTACGCCAACCCCCGTATCCTTGCGTTGGGTTGAGGGCGGTCCTGTGTGTGGCTTTGGGCTAGCTGTCCAGTTTGCTGATGCATCAAGTAAAGATCATTTAATGACAGTTGGCTTTTCCGCAAGCGGATACGCTGCGGGGTTTGATGGTAAGGAGGCACTTCGGGTGCTTGTGTTGTCGTTTTAGTTCGGTTTGCTGTATGTACCTTTACTGGCTGCGCGGCCCTGCAGTCTGTCCATTCGAGGAATCTTAAGTGAAATTCAAATTCAAATCTGGTACACCAACACACAGCTAAGATGCCCCACCACGTGCTGGCCATGGGGACGGTGTTGGCGGCCCTGGGGGCCAAGGCAGCTGGGTCCGCTGTGGACCCGGCAACCTTCATTACCACAGGGGCTGCGCCCCTAGGCAAAGGGATGGGCTCTGCGCTGCTTTCTGTGAAGGCTGGAAAGGCAGCAGCAGCAGCTGCTGCCCCTGCGGCGAGCTCCTTCCTTGCTCACGGCGGGGGAGACGCAGCAACGCAAGCAGCAGCAGCAGGAACCTCTGCACTAGCAGCCAAAGCACCTTCGGCGGGGGCTTTGACTGGGTCTGCGGCTACTGCATCGAAAGGAGCGGCGACACTTCTGGCCAAGGGCAACGCAGGCGGCGCCGCTGCCAAGGCAGCCGCGGGCCCCGCGGGAGTGCAAACAGCAATGTTGAAGACCTCACAGAAGGTCTGTCTGGCCAAGAAGAAAGCAGCTGTGGCGAAGGTCAAGCCGGGGGGAGCTTCGGGCTCCAGTTCTGCGGCTAAGGGCAGCAAGGCGGCGGCGAAGGCGCACAAAACGTCGGCGGGCGGCAAAGCAGCAAAGGGAGGCGAAAAGAGCGCGGGATCCAAAGGGGGAGAAGCAGCGCATGCAAAGCATGCAGAAGGCAAAGGAAGCGGCGGCGGCAGCCACAAAGAACATGAGTCCGGGCATTCACAAAGCAGCAGCAGCGGACCCCATCACCGCCACCACCAGTCGCACCACACAGAAGGTGCGCGCGGAGGTGGAGGCGGGGGAAACAGCGGCTTTCCCTCCACCAATGACCATTCATATTCCGGGGACTACGGCAATGGGGAAGGTGGATACTACGGAGAAGAAGAAGTGATGCCAGGCTCTCTGGGGCCTTCTTCCAAGGCTGGGTTTCTGCAAGTCCACCAGGGACCTGCTGACGCCGGCTCTGCAGCTACGGCCGCCTCGTTCACGGGCACTTCCCACACAGCCACTACAGCAACTACAGCAGCCCACACCGGGACAGCAGCAGCAGCAGCAGCAGCAGCAGACCACGCCGCCGACGTTGCCACAGCTGTTCCGCCCGGAGACATGGGAGCTTCTGTCGTGGACCCGTCAGCCGCAGGCGGGAACTTAACTGGCGGCGACATGGGGCTCTCCGCCGACCCCGGGGCGGAAGCTGCAGCAGTTGAGGAGGTGGCGGCGGGCCCGTCCAAAGGGTCTACTATTCTAAAGGGGCTGATGCAAGGGGCCCTGGGTATGGAAGGTTCTGAAGATCAGGGCCTGCTGCAGAGTGTGTCGCAGCAAGCGGGCTACAACATCTTCGGGAGCGTGCTGGACAACTCGCCCGTGCTGGGTGGCGCCGCCGCCATCATGGGCGCAGCAGCCATGGACCCCACGGCCGCGGGCGCTGACTACGGGATGGCAGATGTTGACACGGAACTCGTAGAAGAACAGACCATGGCGGTGGCTGCGTTTCTCCCGACGCTCTTCGGCCGGCTCTCAGGCCTTGGGAGTCCTCCGAAAGGCCCAAGCACAGCCAAGGCTGACAGCCGGCTGCGGAGGAGCGACTCTGCAGTGTCCACTGTGTGCTCGAGCGACGGCGCTCTCTCAGATGGAAGCCCCAACTCGTATCCTGAGCATTTATCAGCGCGGCGAGTCATCAGATCCCGTATGGACATCCGGAAGATCAGCTATGCAGCCTTTCTCTGCTGACGGGCGCGTACGTGCGAGTGCACGCACACTTGTGGGCAATACACACCGTCGACAGCACGCCTTCAAGTGTAACATATGTTAGCTGGCGGCACAGCTTAGGAGCCGGGACTGTCTAGTGCCTAGGCTCAATCAGTTTGTAGAAGGGCCGCCAGCCGTATATCGTTTTCACAGATTGCTTACTTGCTGCGGGGAGCAAAGATACAGTAGCGACATGTTAATCGTCTAGAACAATGGGACACCGTAGCCTGTTAGACAAATTTGCGAGGCCCTGCGTTGCCGGCGAGGCCTCCAGAAGGAAACTGTCCGTTTCCTCTCTTCCGCCTACTTTGCCTGTAAAGGCCCCCACGCGATTTGTGGAGAGCCGCAAACTCACCAGTGCTGCACTGTGTCAGCATTAGGTGCTCCGCTATGCACGCTTGACTACAGCGCTGCTGCTGTGGCCGGCTCAGGTGTCGTCATTGGGTGCTGTTCGGGAGTTTCGTGACGCACTACTGGCTAAATAGAGGGCGCTGCCCATAAAAGAAACTACGGCGATAAGGGCCGTGGCTACCGTAGGAAACCTAGCGGCAGATGCAATGTGCTGCTGAACAATACCGTTCTCTTTCCAATGTGGCCTGAGGCTTGGGGACATGGCGGAGGCCTTTCCGCCTCCGTATGTTCCCCAAGGGCTCTGCCCTCCCCACTAACTCCGAAACTTTTTGAAGGCCATCTATTTCAAGTCCCAAAAAACGCGCTCCATCTGCGGGTCCTCAGTGCGCCTAGCGGTTAACGGAGGCACAAATCGTGATACAAGTGCAGACAAAAAAGCAAAATTGTTGTCACGCAACCAGCTTTTAAATTGACGTTGCTAATGAGGCCGGGCAAAATGCACACAACGGGTTTCACCAACACCTCAACACTATAAAAATTTGGGTGAAGTCACGCATCTTTGAGGCTGCGCTGAGCGCAGCAACCTTGCCTTCTTCGGCTCCTGAAAATTGGAGCCCCGGGGATACATTGCTGAGGCACATATATGACAGGCTGTCTGGGGGTAAGGCGACCTGCCCACTGCAGCACGCATAAAGCGCGGGAGAAGAGCAAGAAACATAATAGGCACTTTGAAGCAGATACAGAAGGCCCAGAAACCAAACAAAGAGTACAGCCTGCTGCAAACAGCCCGCCAGCACAACCCCGAAAGAGCCCTTGACAGATGGTCCACAGAAGCAAATAAGGAGCACTCCTCCTTCGTTGCCTATGTAGAGGAAGAAGACCCCAACATTGTAGCATCCACCTAGCAATGTTCATAGAGAGGAGCTGGAAAGTAGATAGCATCCCACTAAGCTGCGGTACGAGTTGACGCCTTCATTTCTTGGCGCCAAAAAGGCCTCCCCCAGCAGCCGGCTGCTGTGTGCTGCCAAAGAGACCCCCGCCAGTCTGGGCACCCTTGTTTGCCCCAAAGAGGCCTCCAGTCCCCTGATTGGCAGTAGAGGCCCCGAAAAACCCTCCTCCTGCATTCTGCGTCCCTGTAGAGGACCCAAAAAGGCCACTGCCTTGTGTGCCTGTGGATGCCCCCAGGAGGCCCCCAGCAGTTCCTTGCTGATTGTTAGTGGAGGCTCCGAATAAACCCCCTCCTGAAGTATTTGTCTGCTGTGTTGTGCTGCCAAAGAGGCCCCCTGTCGTGCCCGCAGCGGGAGTCGCCGAAGAGGTTCCAAAAAGACCCCCACCTCCTGCATTTTGCTGCCCTGTGGATGAGCCACCGAAAAGGCCCCCACCTTGCGCATTCTGCTGCCCTGTGGATGCCCCGAAGAGGCCCCCTGTGGAAGGTTGTTGCTGCTGCTGCTGGATGTTGCCAAAGAGACCTCCACCTCCGCCCTGCGTGCCTGTGGAGGCCCCGAAAAGACCCCCTCCCCCAGCAGCAGTGTTTGTTGTGGACGGGGCCCCTGCCGCTGCCGAGCCAAAGAGGCCTCCTCCCCCTGTGCTGGAGGTCCCAAAGAGGCCCCCGCCTGGTGCTGTGGTTCCTGCTGCGGTCTGACCCCCCGTAGCAGCCGTATTGTTCGAGGCACCAAAGAGGCCCCCTCCACTTGATGTCCCAAAGAGGCCTCCGGTGCTAGGGGTGCCCTGTTGCTGTTGCTGGCCCGTATTCTGTGTGCCGAAAAGCCCTACCCCGCCTGCCGAGGCACCCCCAAAAAGACTCGTACCGCCTCCCTGTGGGGCCCCCGCAGATCCAAAGAGGCCACCTCCAGCGCTCGTGCTTGGCTGCTGGCTGCTTCCGAAAAGAGAACCACTACTTCCAAGCAGTCGACCTCCGCCTACGCTTTGAGGCGCTTTGTCTCCTATTGCACTGGCACCACCCAACAGGGAGCCTGGGGCCGTCCCACCTGAAAACCGAACACAAAACACTGTAGCCGTTTTTCACATGATGAACGCGCCGGCAGTACTAGTAGCAGTAAGAAAACGCAGGACCTGCAGTAAAGACCCTCCACAGCTGAAGTTATTTTACCCTGACTGCGCTGCATGTCTTCTGTCTTCTCGTCTTCGCTAGCTGGCAACAGCTTTATGCCTGCTTGCTCGAGGGCTTCTTGCGCCTCCTGCACTGCTTCAATCAGTACCAATGCCTGCATCCAGGCAACAAGGACCACAGGAGCACAGCAGGAACATGAAAGATCTTTCAGGCGCACGTAAGAACCCCGAACTGAACAACGGTCTGGGTGGCACACAATGTTACGGGGGCCAAGGACATGAGCAAATCGGGAAGCCCAGAATAGCCGAGTGCCCTATGTACCCTCTTCGATGCATTTAGTAAGAGGTCTCGCTGGGCCGCGACGATTTCGACTATCAAGACGCCATCTGCTCTTCTGGGAGAGGCGCCCCGTCCAGAGGCCAGTGAGGCCTCTTGTTGGCCATTCCCGTCAAAGAGAGGCCCCCCATCGCCATCGCCAGGCTCTCCCTCTTGGGCACACCGCAGCTCCTGCAGCTGAGCTTCAAGAAGACAAAGTCGTTCTCGTGCCGCCCCAACATACTGCAAGAGCTGCTGGATGCAGGGTGTGGACAAAGCGCAGGGTATCTGCAGAAATGCGGACAAACATGGCTTCAATTCCTGATCCTCAAACCCTGAAAACTGAGCTGCGCAGTTTCATCGCAACTCCCTGGGTCATTTGTCCACACATGCATGCGCTGCTGAGGCCACTAAAAGTCCTTGAACAGCGGTGATGCCAGGTTCCTAGCTGGGTACTAGCTAGCTAGGCAGTAACTACCTATGCGAGGTTGCTAGGTACACTAAACAGCCATTTGGCTGATTAGCAGCGGCTCCGGAGTCGCACCTGGAGCGGCAGTGCACAAGGCGCGTCAGCCGATTGCGCCCCCATTCCAGCAGCTGCGACTGCGAGGTTCTGCATGAGTTGCTGGTACAACTGTTCAACTTGCAAGCAGAAACTCTGCAAAATACAAAATACAAGAACGCGCGAGAGAAGGTGCACCGAGGGTGTTTATTTGAAAGAAACTCTTCGGACGTTCCCCTTGTATATCAGCACCAACGACTACATAGCACACGCCAGCTCTAGAAAATCCAAATAGGCTCAAGGAGCTCCTCCTCAGGCTCAACAGCAGTCTTTCACTGGCCCCAGGGGACCCTTCAGAAGCCCGCAAGGCCTCCAGCTGCCCAAACAACAAATTACATAAACTCTTCAGGCTTACCTTGTCCCTCTCCAGAAGAGGCTGCACTGCACTTGTCTGCCGTTTCGTCACTGAAATGCGATGGCCCGCGGCTGCCACTCTCGCCGCCTCCGCCGCCAGGCCTCCCTCGAGTGACCCGAATGACCTGAAAGTAAAATAAAAACTAAAAAAAAGATTCCATTTCCTTTGCACTGACGCATGCGGGCTGAGGGCACTCTGGGTCTGTGCGGGGCGCCCGCCCAGCAAGGCGCAGCTGAGAAAGAAAGCCTCACTTTTTCAAAGCAAGAGTTTGAGCTTGCAAGGATTCCAGTTGCCTCTCCTGTTCCCTGAGCTGTACCTCCACCTCTCGGGCCCCCTGGGGCAGCTGCGGCAGCACTCTCCCCAAACTCTCTAGAGTGGGCTGTCTCGGCAGCAAAGCAGCAGCACGCCAGTCTACATTAGCAAAGGCAGCGCTGCTGATGTTGACTCCCTTTGAGCTGCCAGCACTGCTGCCGGCGGCGCTGCTGCTGCTCCCCAAAAGGCCACCTGCGCCGGCGTTGCTGCTGCTGCTGCTGCCAAAGAGACCCGTTCCAGTGTTGCTGCTTCCGAATAGCCCCCCCGTGCTGTTGCTGCTGCTGCCGCCAAAAAGTCCACCCCCTGTGGTACTGCTGCTGCCAAAGAGACCCCCGGTGGAGGGCGCTGCTGCTGCTGGCTTAGCTGCACCGAAGAGGCCTCCACTTGCCCCTGCAGGCGCTGCTGCACCTCCAGCAGCATTTGTGCCAAAGAGGCTTCCCCCACCCACCGCACCTAGGTTTGACCCAGCAGTGCTGCTGGAGGCTCCGGCAGCAGGAGCAAGGCCTCCAAAGAGGCCTCCTCCTCCTGTGCCAGTGGCTGTGTTGGAGGTGCCACTGCCAAAGAGGCCCCCACCAGAGGCTCCTGTGCCTGCAGGCTTTCCAAACAAGCCTCCGCCAGAAGTTTTGTTGCCAGCGGTTGCTGCAGTTCCAAAGAGGCCCCCTCCCGTGGTACTGGGGTTGGTCACGGAAGCGCCCCCAAACAAGCCCAGTCCCCCCGTTGAAGGGGCTCCTGTGGAGGCGTTTGTTGCTGTTGAGTTTCCTGGTGCCGTTCCTGATGCTTGGCCCCCACTGCCGAAGAGGCCTGTAGTCCCACCCGTCGCTCCAGGGGTCTGGGTAGTCGAGCCGAACAAGCCCCCGCTTGTGTTCGTGGCTAAGGCAGTGGAGCCGAACATTTCTTGCTGAAGTCTTTTCTACGATGCTCAAGAATTGAATCTGGAATTAGTAACTTCTTTCCGACATCCAAAACCGAGAAAAGACTCGCTATTGGCGAAGGGCCTGCCTTCGGACCCAGAAGCA